AGCTCCATAGAAGACATGTAAGATGAAATTTTCAAAACCTCAGCTCTAAGCCCTTTGCCATGTGAAGTTAAAACCCTTGTTTGAGGAAGAGCCTGGTTTTGAAAGTCTTGCCAAGGGTTGCACCTGATGATTTGTTTTCTTCATTTTGATTTTTACTCTGTCAAACAGGGAGACGGGCACATCTGCTAGTAAGTGAGGAAATAATTTACGGTTTTGTTAGAAACAATGTGTTAATTTTTCTGCAAGAGACAGAAACATGCATGATGAAGTTCCATGCCAGACGCTACCTTTTTCTTACTGCCAGATTTTTGACAAGTGGTAGCTCCTCTGTGTGTGTCCTCGCTAACCTCACCAGGGCACCAGTGATGTCATCAGAGCTTTTGAGAACTTTTACTGTATGCATTTAACATCAAGCTGAACAAACGTGTGGAACAGGCAGTGGCAGTGAGGTGATACCCAAAATATAATTATATGGGAAGCTTTAGAAATAAAGAGTAAGGAGCATCATACTGGATCTGAAGTTGCATCTTTCATGTACAAAGCATACCCATTGATGAAGTGCAGTAGTCAGTCAGCCAGTGATCTAAGATATTGTGATAGATATTTCCTTCTTTTAGAAAAGGTAATTTGGTCTTCCAGTGTTGGACCTTCTCCTTCATTTCCCTTTTCTGGTGTGCTTTAATTTTCCACGTCAGCGTGTGTCCAGTCGAATGTATACTTACAGACAGATGTTCATACAACTGCTTTAAAGCTTAAGATTAAACTATTTCTAATAGACGTTCTCATCTTTTTTTTGTGATCAGAAGATTCCATACATTCAACCAGCTACATAACTCACAAAATAGAAGATTAAAATCCTTTTTTACTACCAATGTATTTTTAACAAGTTCTTTATACCCTGTTACAATGGAGGTGTCTTTTTAACGTAACTTAATGAAAGCTGCAGAGGGTTTCAGTAAGAAAGATTTGAGTCACATCTGGAGTCACCCTTATGTGCTGCTGCAGATGGATTATTTTTAGTGCGTTATATGATTTGTCATTTCTAGGATGATGGATGAACTCCTTTCAAAGCAAAGTTCATGTTTCAGAGCATGCTTGGTATAATTTTTACCTGAAAAACTAGTTGAAAAATGCCTTGGTTCTCATTATATATGAGTAGTGAGGGTTTTGTGGTTTACCAAACTACCGTCCCTAGATCAGTACAATAAACAGGAACTTTCTGGTAGAAAGTGGACATTTTTAGATACCAATTTGTGAAACACAGATATTAACGCATGCACAGAAATGGTCTGTCCCTGGTTGGTTGTGACCTGGAGAGAGAATACCAGGCAGCTACAGTTTCAGTCCACTGCTACATACAGCAGCATTAAAAAAATACTTGTTCTCGGTTCCAAGCCTGTTCATTCTGAGAGCCAAGGTGCAAACTAAAGGCTCAGAGGCAAAGCTAAGTGCAAGAGACAGGTATGTCTGGCTAATTAACACCCTCCACTTTCAGAGGCTAAGCATCTCTTCAGACCGAGTGACTCGTTGGAACTATTGACAGTGTGATAGCTATGAACATCACAGTAATGGCACCCTCTTGTGGTACCTCTGTTTTAGTGAAGTCTTCATATTTTCATAATACACTCAGTTTTACAAACAAGGAGCTTTACTAATGTGCCCGTTATTAAATATGGATTTATACTCACTTATTTCAGACACAGTAAACTAGATGAGGACACTGTACAAGGATGGGAAAGCAGCTTTATCCTGTCATAGACAGACATTATCAGACCTTCAGATAAGTTTACTTTTTTTGAAAAGGGACATATTTTCAAGTGTGACTTCCAGGAAGGCTAGATTTATTTTCAGATCTCCTGGTCAGCGTTTATAGCACACTCACAAAGTGGCTGGCACCAACACAAAACTGTACTCGACACTTGAAACACTCTCTCTTAGAAAAGCCTGTGTAAGCACCTTGGATTTTTGGAAGTCTGCATAATCAGAGTAATATGTTCTCACAGGCAGTTCATGCTGCTTCAGATTAGGCTGGGATATTCCTCACTCTTTGCTCCCATGACAGGAATACTTCTTTCTCTTATCCTTTTAATATATTTGCCTTTTGCTTTCACTTAAAGCAAAATCAAGTATTTCCGCAGTTCAGATGATGCTGAAGGACAACAAAGTGGCCGTTTAAATTAACATGCCATTAATCTTGCATATGACAGGTGTAGTTTTCACTACTGCAGTGTAATACGTTAATTTGTTATGTCCTAATTAGGTGGTTCTTGAAGGCTGTAATTCCCACCTACATCCTTCCTTTGAAGGAAGACACCTCTGTACCTTCATTATTCTAACCTCCACATTAACTAGAAATTATCAAAACCTAAAGCTACTCCTATTTTGCAGACCTCCTTTCATGAGAACCTCCCTTTTTCCAGGAATGGGCAGCTGGCAGCATGTAGACGAATGCAGTAAGATGTTAAACATCCACCAGTTCTTCTCAGCTTGGTGATCTGAAGATAAAGCCAAGCATCAGCATTTCCCTCTCAGAGTCTTAGATGAAAAGGAAGCTTGCCTCTACCTTGCTCTAATCTCAGAGGGAGACAGATGCAGCCCAAAAAAACTGAAACCTGCTCCTCTCAATAAACAAGTAGAAACCAATACGCCATTACTTTCTCTGGAAAGCGGAGGTGAAATCTTCAGGAGCACAACTTCTTAGAGATGCTTTTCCCTCTACATGCTTCCTGGTTTTTATTCAGAAAAAGAAGATTGCAAAACTCTGGGAAACTTTTCATTAGCTGCACCTGATGTCCTGTTTTTGTTTTCACCAAAAAAGAACCAGGCTTGTGTAATTAGCTGGACAAACTGTTGCAGTTTACTATTTCTTAAACATTTGCCACAGTGCCAGATATCTGAACTTTACATGCTAATTCCACAGGGGTGGGCAGGAGTGTTCAGCTTATTTCCCCATTACAGGTTTCTGCTGGCCTTTTCACATGCAGGGAGTTATCCACAAGGCCCAGATCGCTGCTCACGTTCAGCTGGATATTGGCCAGCAATTGTATTGTTCATCACTTGTCTTTCTTGGTTTCTTTTCCTTTTAGTTTTATATTTTCTTCCCTTGTTATTTCCCTTTCCATTATTACTACTGGTGGTAGCAGTAGTGGTTTGTGTTGTACCTTAGTTACTGGACTGTTCTTATTGGAACTCATGGGAGCTACATTCTTTTGATTCTCCTCCCCATCCCTCTGGGAGAGGAGGGAGGAAGAAGACAGGGAGCAAGTGAGAAGCTGCATGGTTCCGAGTTACTGGCTGGGCTTAAACCATGACAGAGGGTGTTCACATGTACAGGGGAAAGAAAAGATCACAGACACAATCAGTCCATGTCCATAAGTTTCATTTACCTGCCCTGACACAACCCTACATTTCTTTAACTTTTTTTGTTTGCTTTGAATGAATTTAACACCGTATTAGGGATGTTGCATACAGGTTAGTTGGGCACAAGTTATATTTAGCACAGAATATTTGGATGCAAGTTTTTCAGTCCATATTTTGAAATACATTTAGCAAAGGCAGCAAAAACTAAGGAGGAAACATCTGGAATTAGAAATTATTTTCTGTCTCTGCTGCAAACAAAAATTACCTATGTAAGGTACATGCACTATATACCCTTCTCAAGAGTTTGTGCTAAGCAGTTTGTAACATGCTGTGCAAATACCCTCTGTTACAGCATAAGCTTTTTACAAATCTGTGAAGAAATAAAAATGTAATGTTAAATCCCAATAGCAGTATCCATTCATACATTAAACACAGGAAGGGTAAAGTCTTCTTAAATTGCACAGATTATCTCTACAGGCCAAGGAACAGATGCAGCTGCCTGCCAACACTGCTCCAAACTGGTGGCTATTTTGTTATGCAGGCAGCAACCAAAGAGAATTAGAGACCACATCCTTTACAAAACCAGCCATCTTCTTGTCACATTCCCAAATGTGTTAATTTGAATGTCTGCATCTTTCAAATGGTACCTGTCAGTTCACACTACCATGACTTTCAGATTTTTCACTTTTTTGCACCGTTACTTTCTCTAGCAGTAGACTGATGGTCAGACAAGGCAGTGTTCTATCAAACAACTTCATCCAGTGTAGGGGAAGAGAAACAGGTAGGAAAATAAAGAAACAAGCTGCAGGCACACATGCCCTTCTTCTGGTCCAAAACACAAGCAGCAGATTTCAAATACAAGTTTCTGAAGTGCTCAGAGTTAACTGTAAGACTGCTTTTCAAAGAAGAGGTAAATAATACTTCTGAAGAGAGAATTTTAAAGGACAGGAAAAGCCCCAAGGGGGAGGCTTGTACACAGCATATTTTAATATGATACTAAACCAACAAGTGTGATCTTCCTTTTATTGTTAAAGACATAATAAAGTCTATCCCACCTATAGACCTGTTTCCTGACAAGCTAAAATTCCTCCTATGCAAAAGATTCTATTTTAATTTATTTCCATTTACTTAACGCTGTATTGTGCATCACTGCTATTTTGGGGGCTTTTATTGTTTGTGGTTTTGTTTTGTGGTTTTTTAGTTTTGTTTGTTTTGTTGGAGGTTTTGGTGGGTTTCTGTTTGTTTTGGTTTGTCATTTTTTGGTTTTCTTGGGGTCTTTTTGTTCTCCCTCCCTCTCCCCCTGGAGAAGGTAGTTTATTCCTTCCCCTCTCTCTTTTTCCTGTTATTATTGTAGTCTACTTTCACTTCAATTATTAAACTATTCTTATCTCAACCTGCGATTTTTTTTCCCCAGTTCTCCTCCTCATCCCACTGGGGAGCAGGGCAGGGAGTGACCAAGTGGCTGCATGGTGTTAGGTGGCAGATGGGGTTTCCCAACACTTCCCTCCACCTCACACTGAGTAATCTTATCCCAGAGCTGGTAAACCTTCCCAGTGTATTCCCGAAGTTTACATTCAAATGCCAACACACAGAATGGTCAGTCATCTTGAATTCTAGGTAATCATCAACTGCAAACACAAAAGATGCTTAAACATTTTAACTCCTTTATTATCTGGGCACAAGAGAAGTAACTACCAATAAACCCCCAAAAGATAAACATTTTCTTTTCACATGGTGGTTAAAAGTGATTAGAGCATCTCGTGACTGTGAATGAAAGTAGTGTTTCCAATTACAAACCAGTATGTGCTAAAATCTCAATGGAACAAGCCTTAGAAGCATTCCAGAGCACAAGGCAGTGCCCTTCTAATTCACACAATGATAAAGGTAATTCACAGTTAATGTTTGTGAATATCAAGACAATGTTACAATGCAAGTTTCTGTACAGTCAGATGTAAAGAAATAACCAGAACAGTAATTCTAGTATATTGTAACTGAACTTGCTTAAGCATTTTTGCTGAGATGGTTACCTGAAGATTCTACACCAAAAAGAAGTGTTAAAATATCCCCCTGGATTTATGCATTACTTATAATCTCATTCTATGGCAATGCATAAATCTCTAGAAATCAGCTGTTTCTGCTGTATATATTGTGTTTATACAAATTAAAGCAAAAAAGATGGTAGATTATTCAAGTGGTACAAATCTTTCAGCATTTTGCTAGCAAAAAAATACATGCCAAGATCACAATAAGCAGTATCAGTACCCACAAACTGTAGCTTCAATTATTTTCTTTCTTTTTTTAATTTGTATTCTACATAAATCACTACTGAAGGCTAATGTTTAAGTAGTAAATAAATTGGACAGTTGTAGGTCAGACAAAACTTGTTCACCTAACTATGAAAGCTGATACTGTTTAAAAAAAAATCACAAATAATGCAGAATGAAACTATAATGCATGCAAAAGTGAAAATGTATTGATTCCCACTGTTTGAAGAAAACTACTGCACTCCATCTTAATATGTATCAGACTGATTTTAGTACAAGACAATCCCAAGAGTCAGGATGAAATAAAGCAAATATTTTAAAGATTTAAGAGCTGTTATCAAAAATAAATTACATTTCTTCAAGTTAAAGAAACATTGCTATGATGGCTGGGAGCCAAGCAGCCTTTCAATGGCTGCATTGATATCTCCTCCTGTTGCTATTAGCGCCTGTAAGTTTGCTTCGCGGTTCAGAAAGCCCATTGCACTCAGCTGCTCCAGTTGTTGCTGGAATCGAACTTCTGGATTTTGTAACTGCTATGAACAAAATTTCAAGATATGAACATATTTAGCAATGTATAGGATTTAAACATAGCTGGTTATGCACCACTGTCTTAACTGATTTCTGACTATAGCTTTTTCAAGATCCCAAAACTATACTATAATATAAATTCAATTCACAATTGCATAATTTTTCAACTAGTCTTGAATTTTTAGAGTACCTACATTTACACAATACTCTTGAACTGCAGGAAAAGCTGCTTGTTTGATAAAAGGGGATTATAATTAAATTGGGTAAATTTATGTCCCATTAATAGCTTTGTTAAAGATATTAACACAGGTATTTGTTAAAAATGAAACAAAGTTCAACCTTGTAGTGTGGAAGAGCAAGGATTGTGATGATGTCACTGTCAGCAATGGTGAACGTCACAGGCTTCTTCTTTTCATTGACATAAAAAACACCTCTTTTTTAATGCTCCAAGTATTGGTTGACTAAAATTACCAAAATTCTAACTGTTAGGAAGCCTCAGTCTAAGGCAAACTGACAGCTGTGCTTTATGGGATAATGCTACTCACAGAAACTCATGGCAAAATTCTGCATGATTTCAGTAGTCTGATCCTTATTTCAGGGACCTTTTTGAATCAGAACATTGTATGAAAATAATATGCTGGAGTAATACTGAGAAGTAACTTTTTAAAAATTAATGCATTGATTTAGATACAACACAAAACTTACACAGCTACCACTAGTTCTCCTTTTGCTCTAATTCAGTAGTTTTATACATAAAAATACTACCAGTATTTTAAATATGCATACGATTCCAAATCGGTACATTGTAAAGATGTAATCTAAATTGTAAGAAATGCCCCCCCCCCCCCCCCCTTCACCTAAGCAAAACTAAATAGAACATTGACTCAATAGATTTGACAGCATAAATGAAAGTGTGTAAAAATATGGTTTCTCACACTCACACCCACCAACACTTTCTTGTTGTTTGGTAACAAAAAAAAAAGTCTGTCAGATCAGCAAGCAGAACTCATCCATCCTGTGGAAACAGGTGAGAAAAAAGCAGGACTGACCCTTCCAACAGCAGCCTGCTATTACACTCGGTATACCACAGTGTAAGGATGCTGTTTCACACAGCACTCTTGAGAGTTAACAGCATGTCTCCTTTAAAGGCAGTCTTGCTCACGTCCCTATAACTACTGGCATTCTGGAGCTCTCTGGAGACCCTTAATCCCACACAGGATGTTAACAAAATGCACTGCAGCCTTGACATACAAGATGTCAGTGAAGCCATACAACAAATTCAGGGTCCAAATAACCAGAGTGTGGCTATTCCAAAGCGTGGGCCAGAGGCTTGGTTACACCTAGAGAGTAATAGCCAGCAATAAAGACAAAGCACAGAGGAAACTGTGTTCAATATGCTTAAGCTTTTCTCCTGCCTGAGCCCACACCTCATTTGCCAGTGAACCTCATCACCTTAATCTGCCTCCATCTTTCCAAGAATTTCAGAAATTCAAGGGTATGAAGATGAGTGTATAAAAACCAGCTCTTCAGAGGACATGTTTTCCATTTTTTCCCCAGCATTTACTTGCACAGCTGCATCAGCACTTCTCAGCCTCCTCTGCTCTCCTTTGATCAGATGTAGCCATGGACCCCTCCTCTCAACTATCAGCCTCCTTTCTAGTGGTTTGCAATAATATCAGAAAACAAAAATACCTAGATTACTGACATACTTTACCTGAGCATTTGCACCAGCAAGTGCCTGCAACATTTGCTGGACAAATTGCTGGTGACCAGGTTCAGCAGTTCCTGATGCTGGATTTGTGTTTTCACTGGGAACAGAACTAGGTACAGTGGACCCTGTAGGCGCTCCAGTGCTTCCCAATCCACCTAAACCAGGATTAAATCTGCATAAATGACAAAAAAAATACACCATTTGAATTATAAATACAAGTACTAGCTTGTCTCTTCTCATATAACCACTGAGTAAAAATTCTGCAAAAAAGGGGACAGCAATTTAAAGTGCCGAGACAAGGACCAGAGTCATCACTGTTTAGAAATGCATGACAAGTAAGAACTGGATAGATTCTAAAGCAAGTTTAGTTAAACTAAAAAAAGGCAGAAGAAGTAGTCTTTAATAAAAACAGAGTTGTAAATTCAGAAGACTGATTCTTACCCTGGTATAAGCCCTGGTGCTTCTGTTGCAAGTGTCTGCAAGCCCTGCTGAATCTGTAGCAGAGCCTGCATTGCTCTTGGGTTTGACATAGCTGATAATGTGTCAGGATTCTGCATCTAAGAAAAGGGGAGGAACATTAATATTCGATGTTCAAAGTTGTTAATATCTTTCTGATAACTTGAGGTCAGATAATAAGTAAATACATAGCTGGCAAAATTTACTTAAATTTTAAAGAGGAAAACATACTGGGTTCTTCAAAGAAAGCTGCTGCAACTATTTTAAGAAAATATTTAAATCACAACTTGCTGTCTACTATTTGGAGCTGTTTTACAGAAATAGTGGCCTAACAACTCTCAGAGCACTTAAGTGTCCTGACTCTTTTCTCTATTAATATTATTAATTCCACCTGTTAGATAGCAGCACTTCTTTCCTAGTTCCAGTGGGCAACTGCTCTTTATTGAAAAAGATGCCTTCCATTACGAAGACGAACATCACATGGTTTCTGTCACCCAAACCCATAATATAAATGCCAGTAGATAAGCAAGAAAATATGAGCTGCAATACTGTTAACATTCTGAGAATACACAGACATTACCTCACCTGCCAATACTGCTAATCATCTGATCTAACATAGTGAATACAGCAGAGAATTGGCTGTGCAGATAAACCCCAAGGTAATATTGACAGAAGATACCCATAGGAAACAGACATGATTCTTACTATGTCTTCATTAGTTACCATTTATTCACAGCTTTCAAAACATGCATGTGGTTCTAGCTTCTCAGATACTACTAAATCATCACAAAGCACTGGCATTACAAAACACTACAGCCATTCACGTGGTTGAAATAATTTAAACACTTTCTTCTGAACACTGAGCTTCTGAACTTGCTACTGTAATTCATGTATGCATTAGTAGTTTTACTCACACAAGTGTTGGTATGCAATCAGATCTTGGCAACACACCTTAACTCCTATTTGCAAGGACTGCCTAATGATGAAACTCACGCACTGGATTAAGTACTACACACTGTGGCAGATACCTGGGCTGCAAGCACAGTGTTGTTAAGAAGGGAAGACAGTGGTAGGGCAGTCTTCACAGGCGAAAAACTTCAGAACCTACTTCTGAATTAGCTAATGACTTGGGTCTTCCAAGGTATGCTGCAAGATCTCTTTCACAAATACTTAAGGCAGGTTTGAAGAGGTATGAGTAAAGCATAGAAAAGCTTTATTCTAATAGTGGTAAAAGTACTAATCTTTTTAATTTGCAAAACAAGTCATTCTCCGGCTGGTGTGCAGTAAGAACAATTACTTCTAAGCAAAGAAGCAAAAGCAAATTTAAGTGGTTGTGCTAGCAACAAACAAAAATATCCACTAGAAATCAGGTATAGGTTTTGAAAGGGATAGAAACAGTAAGAAAGAATTATCAAGAGAATCTAACTTCATGTTTAAAGCAAATGAGAATATTACAGAATCTAACTTTCAGCCAAATCAAACACAGACATCAATTTATTGAAAATACTGCTTATTGACTTGCAGATATTTATTAACAGCTAGTATCGTATCTTACTTGCTGAAGGAAAGTTGGAAGTTGTTGTCTCATTTGTTCCTGAAGGTGAGGATTTCCAGCAAACAAAGGATTATTCAACATTATCTATGGACAAAACAAAACATGACAGTTTTCTCAAAATAAAATGTTTAACTTCAAAGATCAAACAGTAAAAATCACTGCAGGGTCATTAAGACAACTACTTACATGATAATAGTTATGAAAATAACCTCACGGAACAATCATCATCTACTCCTTTGCCCAAAACTTGTTACAAACCACTAGCCTGAACACACTGCAGGTTTTTTTTGTTGTGTTTTTTGTTTGGTTAGTTGGTTGATTTTTTTTTGCGGGGGGGGTCCCTTGTTTGCTTTGTTGTTGTTTTGGTTGGTTGGGTTTTAAGTGAATGAATTGCCAGATACTTGCCAAGACAACCTCACTTCTATTACATGAAAATACTTTTCTGCTCAGCCTTCTCTACAGATTTAAGCAATAATATCTCTGTAAATATCACCTGAAGTCAAGCATATTTTCCAAATTGGTAATACAGAAGAGCTAACTTTTTTAATCTCAGTTCACAATTTTACTTTGGATATTAAAGGTTTAATTTGAAAAAATCTGAAAGCACATCTACAGTATCATTCATAAGACACCATCCACACTTTTACAGTGAGCACATGTCACAAAAGAGAACTTGAAACCAGAATGACGTCTAGATGTGATACCAACTACCCTCACTTCACTTCTCCCCAGCTAGTGGGGGGTGTATATTTACCAGTAGATCTGCCTTAATCTACAACCAAAGCATTTGTTTTGTTGAAATGGTTCTTGTGCTGGGTCATAAGTTTAGGGCTGTACAAAACATACACAAAGTTACAAACTATTTTAGAAGCATGCCTGGCATGATGTCCAACTACAAGCTGACAAGTTCACTGCAACAACTGTTAAATTTACATAGGTAATAACTTCAGTGAGTTAGGAATCAATATTAAAAACTGGGTTATTCACTACAGACAATTGCTGAGATGTTAGCATAAGTATTTACTGTATCACAGAGTCAAATCCTCTCCACACTCACCCCCTCCCCCTTTTTTTTTATTTCAATACACACAATATGCATTTCAATACACCAAATGCATTTACCTGCACTGCAAGATCAGGATTCTGGCTCAATGACTGCATCATGCTTCTCATATAGGGTGCAGACAACATATTCTGCATAAGTTGTGGGTTTTCAGTTATCTGCTGTAATAAGCTCTGCATTCCTGGTGTGTTGAACATAACAGCTTAAAAAGAAAAAAAAATTTCAAAGACCACTTCAGTAAACACCCTAACAGACAAATCAGGCTTTGTTTCTAAGAGTTTTTGTTTCTAGGAGTTTTAGTCTTTGAAATGCACCTCAGGGGGAGTTCTGCTTACAGAGACACAACTGCTCCAGAAGTTAAGACAGGCTGTATCCAACAAGCAGTCATAATAAGTATTCACATTATTAGCTGTTTTTACATTTGCCTCCAAACAAGAAAAATACTAGCAGTCATTTACAGATTCCGTACCTTTGTTATTTTAAGGCAAAACACAAGTACTGTTATAACTTAGTTTACCTTTCATGTTTGTTTTTCTACAGAGGACATTGATACTAGTCAAATGTTTTACAAAAGTAAATAGCAATAAAAACTCTCACTCAAACTTCTTCCTAATGAAAGAATCTTTTTATCAAACTCCCAAGCATGTGCAAATACATACAACTGCAATAATAAACACACCTCCTTGTCCCAGACTTGGTACAGTTGAGCTCCGTCCCGTACTGCCAGAGGTGCTATTTCCAGCACTGTTACTGCCACCACTCTCACCAGTGGTGCTGGTGCTTGTAGAATTCTGAGAGCTGGACTGAGGAGCCCAAGGATTTGGTAGAGGATCTCTGTTTTCTGTACGAGATGGCTGACTGTCACCTCCTGCTGGTGCATTGCTTACTAAAGAAGCAAATGGGTTACCTCCAAACTACAAAGGAAGGAAAGCAAACATGTATCATCTACTAAAGCCAGCCATTTTTATATCTGCTACAGACACCAAGTTACCTTTTCAAAATTGCACACAAAGATCAATATTGATAGATCTTGACCAGTTATACTTACAATTCTACAGTAATTAATTGTAAATATTTTGAAAAAGACACCAACATTGAGAGATACTAGCACCTTGAAAAAATTAAGTAATATTTATTCCTGGACCTCATAATTTTAAGGCAAAAATTTAAAGGTATTAAAATTTAAGTAATATGGGAATTCACTAACCTTAAACACACAAAGCAGTATATGTATTTATTTGAGCTTAGGAGAGGACAGAATTTTTTTAGATCTTTCTTCGTAAGACTAAGCCACACAGTGACTTCAAGCTTCAGTAAATGTTTTGTCAAGTAGACATTTGAAAATTGACATTACTTCCATGCTTTTGTTTTTAAGAAGTATTTAATTTCAGTGAATTTCAATGTAATCTTTTCTCACCTGTTCCTGTGCTGCATTCAACATTGGCTCCTGAATATCTGTGTACATACGTCTCAAAGCATTGTATCCACCTGGTATACTTTCAAGGTTGCTCAAGGCTCGGTCTTGGTTTCGCATCATTTCCTGCATCATTGCAGGGTTTCTAGCAAGTTCTAGTGTCTAGGGAAGTATAACATTTATTCTGTATTAATAAGAAATCCATTTTAAAGTGAAAATGTCAGCATTTGGCAGTATCTCTGTTACCGCTGTCTAACCCAGTTTGAAATTATGATTAAAGCCAAATTAAGATGTCAGCTTAGTGGGAGCCAACTGAAACTGGTATTTAGCCAGCATACTACTACAACTGTCACTATGCTGACTTGGTCAGGAAGCACTTGGTTAAACAGAAGAAAAACCTTGACTGAAGTTCTTTCTTCACCTCCTCTTTTTAACATAGCATACTCCTACCATTTCTAACATCATTACAGCAGACAGCCTGTAATACAAACTTTAAAATAAATAACCTACATTTTCAAAAGCATCTGTTTTCTGCTACCTTCCGCTACACAGCGTATCTTGTAATCTGCCACATTTACATACCTTCTAATTTTAAAAGCACTCAAGTACCCACAGTTAGATAACATGAAAACATGTATTTGGGAGAATTTCTACTTTGGGTAAGCTCATTTTTGGCTAGAAAACAGAAGGTTTCAAGTGCACATATGGACATCCAACTCTTACCTCAGAAGACATGATTACATAGACTTTCAAGACAACACTGCAGATTTTCTGAATTATCACTCTATTTCAGACATTAGCAACTAGAAATACAAACACCAGTTGCCTACAGCAACCTTTTAGGTATTTTCTAACAAGCTTAAATACTTAAAGAAAGTTTAAGCATTCAACTAATCATGTCCAATCCCTGCTCTGTTGTTCACAGTTACAGTAAAATCAAAGGTCATGAACTTGCAGAGATCCTTCTACATACCTGTCTCATTATATCTGGATTATTCAGCATGTGACTGATTTCCGGATTTCTCTGTATCAGTTGCTGCATTTGAGGGTTAGCCATAATTAACTGCCTCATCAGGTCAGGATTTGAAAGCATGCTCTGAACAAATGGATTTTCCATTATTTGAACCATCATTTCTGGGTTGGACATAAGTTGCCGTTGCATCTGACTTTGCAACTCTGAAAAGTTTGATGTGTTTAAACCCAGGCTACTCAGACCTGCCAAACCTCCAAGGCCACCTTTAAGAGGATGAAAAAAAAATACAATTGAACTTTCAGCTTCTAGTATACTTTGAATCACATCCAGGTTCTTCCTAAATACGCAATACTTGAACATGTCCCACACACTTCAAAATAATGAGAATGAATAAAAAGTCCATCTCTGCAGGGCTGTTAAGGTGTTACCCACTAAGACCTTGCTTCTTTAAATAACAATATACATTAAAAAATCCAAACAGCATGTGAAATACAACTTGTTACAATTCTAACATCTTTTCTTCTCATTTTCCACAGCTAAGATGCTAATCTGGGGACCTTAGGTGTTGTTATCCCTTCATCATCCCCACCCTGCCACCCCCACCCCCCCCCCCCCCGCCTTCCACCTTTCCCCAGTAACACTTTATAATGCATGTATAATAATAATTTATCTGCCACCTTTTGGTTAGATTATAACCAAGAGAGATCTCCCAATATGACTCATTCCCTAATTTAATTACAAGTACAGCACCTTTTCTTATTAATGCACACAGAACTAATTATGCTTTGAATTCCTCTCCTTTGCCAAGTCCAAGCAAAGCATTTCAGAAGATACTAGTCAGTGTGAAGAACTGTCTCCACCTAAGAAAGCAACTGCTTACTATAGTCAGCTTTTCCAATTCTCTCTTCCTCACCCACTGAAAGCAAATAAGATGAAAAAGAATGAACCAAACCCCCAACTGTTATTATGAAAATTATAGATAGTATTTAAGTTAGTAAGACTGCAGTCTCTTTATTGATAAAAGACTGACCATGCTGTCAGACTTGGAGCCCAAGAAATACTGAATTTTAAGATTAGCATCAATTTTGTTGCTTCTGTACCATATCTTGACTTCATGTTACAGGTCCAGTTTCATCACTACTCTCCTCACAGCAACTTGGATGCCCTTTTAAGGAGCACGAGGATACTGGAAGGAGTTTCCTTACCCATAGTGCCAGGACATATCAGTGGCACCTTACTGCTGAAGATGAAACAGCACAAGTCTAAAGTTTGTGGTGAAACATTGAACAGGTTGCCCAGAGGAATGACAGGCCCCTCCATCCCTGGAAACAGTCATGGTCAGACTGGACTGCATTCTAAGCAACCTGATCTAGTTGAAGATGACCCTGCTCACTGCAGGGGAGCTGGATTAGATGACCTTTGAAGGTCCCTTCCAACCCAAGCCATTCTACAATTCTATAGAAAATTATAGGAACAACTTTCCTCTGATAACTTACTAATCAGAAGCCTTGCACAATCAATACTAGGAATATCTATAAACAGTTTTTTCAGTGTTGTGTTTGGTTTTTTTTTAAGTTTGTCTACGTTAGAATAAAACTTCAGAGACAATTACCTGGATCCAAGAGGAGATACCCACCATGCTACCTAACAAATATTCTTACCCAAGCCAAAAGGGTTACTATTTGTTGAAGTTGGTGTTGAGGTACTAGTACTTGATGTTGATGTGGTAGCAGTACTCCCAGCAGAGTTTGCTTGTTGAGCTGGGCGGTCTTGTGATCTATAATGCAAGTTTAAAAGTTGCAAGTTTAACAATTTGATTTAAATAATAAAATTAAATACAGGAATAGTATCATACTTCAGAATCTTAATCTACGTTTCAAAAAAAAAAAAGAAATCACACTAAAGCACACTTATCTCTAGATGGCTTCCCATAACAAATCTTTCTCAGGCATATGTAATATCAGCAATTTTTCAGAACAGTAGTTTGAAACATTAAGAAAATGGATGGGCATCACTGAAGCCATTACCACCTTCTCACCCTTTCCCTGGGACGCCCACCAAATGGAGCTTCCTCTGTCCTTACCTTGCTTTAAAGATCTTTGCCTTAATCTGCTATATTCAAATACTATTGATAACATGGCTGAGCCTTAAAGAAATAAAGCCTAACAAGATGTAATGTTGGGGTTATTTTATGCCACATCTTTAATGAGACACCTTACTGAACATGAAAGTCAGTTAACATTTCATTAGAAGACAAATACCACAATCTCAATAACCTTGAAGACTTCAACAACAAGGTAAAAAATGTAGCTACAGAAAGTTAAAGCCAGCATAATTCAGTACAGGCACTGAAGTCTGCTCAAGTCATATACTTGCCAAACCTTTCTACTGCATAGGCATAAACATAGGTGCTGCCATGTAGTAAAAGAGTTTGAGGAACTGAGCTTTTGAAGAGAGGCCAGGTTAGTTTTACGCAAGAGAAAGGCTAGTTTGAAACCCACAAAAATCTCTAATTTAGTTGAACAATCAACCTCAAATGCCTGGATTTGTAGAACTACAGCATAAAATAAAATATAGAAACTACGAATTCAGACCTCAGACAGACCCTGAGGATTTGACAGCACACTACATTTTATACCTCAGAGTACCTTTCTGCTACTGTAAGGTCCTGTGCTAATTTCACTAAAGCAAAAACCAGGGGAGAAAGGAGGAAACAAAACAAAGCAAAACAACCACCAACCCAAAAAACATGTTCTCTGACTCCAGGCTAAACAAAACCATAGACAGAAACCAAACAAACAATTAAATACTTCGCACACTTCACAAGTTCATTCACCAAAACATCAATACTAGCTTAGAAGTGGCCTGTGTGCTAGTATACCCTGCTGATTTGACCAGCATTCTTGTAAACAGGCATGCAAGTCATGCGGTATAGGATGCCATGGTACCAAATAACCCAATTCAAATTCTTATTGATGTTCTGGGTGTGAAGCAGGAGAAAGGAGCAAGTCCACAAGATTTGACAGTTCTTGTAAAACTTAAGTCCATTGTGATTCCTATGCATTCAGTTTTAGGTATTTTTATTTTTATTCCTTTCTTGTTTACTTTCAGGTCTATCAAAACATACACAGATTCCATTGAGTCAAATCCCATTCTAGAGGAAACCTTCCAGACAGATGCTAACAATTGAGGAAAGAGAATACTTGCATACTTGGCTTTGATATAAGCTGCCATGACAAAGCATCAGGAGAAAATCTGGACTCCTGAGAACAACAAGCATTAATAGTCTAATATTAACAGCAACTGTGAACTTCAAATGCACAATGACTACCATTAGACAAGCAGCTATGATTTCAGTGAGAAAGATTACAGATGGCATACTGACTGTCAATCTTCTGCTAGAGCTATTTAGTTTCCTGTAGTCTAGAAAACACACCTTTCCTCCATAAAGTAAAATAAGCATAACACCCTATTTGGTTCTTCAACTGAGAAACTATTCTGAGGCAACTGTAGCTCTTCATGATTCATGTAAGAGACAAGAAAGGTTCTTAAAGTAGGACAGAAAAAGTAAACAAGACCTGAAACTTGCAGTTCATAGTGCTGCTATAGAAACTGGGGGTATCTACCCTCAAAATAATGGTTTGAGTGTCAAGTCTAACAGCCTCGGGTTTTTGAGTGAAATTCCTGTGAAGTGGACATCATATTTTATATGTACTTTGCTATTTTGTTTCCTCCTGTTACTTCTGAACAGGATATAGGTGTGGTCTTGGAACTTTGTATTCAGGAATATTCACTAGCCATCGCTAATCATTCACCACTACTCTGACACAGTACAGATCAGGTTACAAGATTACACTCAAAGCCTATATCGCCCTGGAAAATGCAGCAGTAATAATGTTATAATTTTTTAAACAAGGATTGGTTGGGATATATGAGGATTCCTATTTGAAAGTTACACATTTAATATCGTTTAGAAGGGACAAGACCATCTTCAAATCTAGTTTTGGAAAATAACTTTTGTTTATTCACATACACAGTAGCAGCAACAGTCAACAGAAAAGTAAATGGCTAAGTGTAAAATAGTTGGGAGCAATCAACCTCAATATTCACAGTCAAAAAACAGCACTTACCCAGCCACACCTAATGTCTTGCCTTTTGATTCAAGCATAAAATTTGGATATCTTAATAATATTAAAATAGTTCAGGGCAATGTTATACTTTCTCAAAAGGTGGTGATTTTCATTGACAACCCTCTCTAACAGGTTTTGGAGTGTATTTTTTTTTTATATGAACAAAGCTTGGCACCCCTTGACATGGCTTGTGGCGATGGGGCAGCCCACATGGGAGACCCAGGCATAGCTCACTGTTCACCTTTGCTTTTCTGGCTAAATACTCACTCAGTTCTGCAGTTCTTTCTTAATTTGTTAGTTGCATAAATGCATTTTAGCCAGCATCCACTGTCAGTTTTACTGTGCCCAAAATTGTTGTGTTGATGTTTTATGGCATCTCAGGGAAAATCTGGAGGCTTCCAGCATAAACAGGCAGATTTGGAAGACTTTAGGCACCTCATGAACAGCGACGAAGCATACTGGTAGGATATTGTGTCCCTGCCTTGTGGCAGGGGATGGAAGCAGACTATCTCAAGGGGGGGTCCCTTCCAACCCAAACCATTCTGTGAAGGCTAGTAGGTGAAAACATTACTACCTCATTCGAGGACAGGATAGGTACATGCAAAGGGTCTGTAGTTTTCTGTCTGTACTTCCTTGTCAGAAACACGATTAAAAGATACTGAAGATAATGGTAACACACTTCTAAAAAATACTCAAAGAAAGTGGGACTCCAGGACAGACAATACAGTCCTGCCAGGATATGAGCATGGAATTAAAGACATCAGTTTCAACAGACACTTACATTTAGTGCTAATGCTACTTAATTTCAACAGGTACTTAAATATAATACTAATGTTACTAACAGGCCATTGTGATTTGGTTAGGCCTAGAAGGGAAAACATACTTCTTTTTTTCTCCCAAGTTCCATTATCTTTACTTCATCACCTGACACCTGGCCACTGGATGAGATCCTCACCAGAAACATGAAAGACTTAATTAGAACAGGAGCAAGAACACTTTTAGTCTAGGAAACTGTTACTGACTAGTCAAGATACATTTAGTTGAGGGATATATTACCCTACCTGCTGATAGGATTTTTTTAGTTGAGCCTTTTCCTTCTGGGCACTTCACAGAAGTAAAGGCACAAATGACACTGCTCAACTGCCACATCATCATTTTAAATTTGCCTCACCAAAAAAACCCGAACCAAACCAAACAAACCAACCTAAACCCCACAAAAACACAAAAAAAAAACAAACAAGCAAACAAAACACCTTAAAATCCAAGTCTTTATGTTCAACCAGATAAATTAGCTCCAAAGCAGTTCTCTCAAATTTTCTTTCCTTGTTTTACCAAAACAGTTTTCACAAATGAAAAGCTGCACAACAGCAAAGCTACATATTATATAGAGCTGATAGCCAAGAACTACAGAGACAGAATAGCCAGCATTCAGCACTAATAAGAAAAGTTAAATAACAAAAAGCAAGAGACTTGCATTTAAAAACATGAATCCAATTAAAATAGAAGACAAACCAAAGAAAAAGAGCATTGTACTTTTCAGACTGTTACTCTGCACCAACTGTGACTAAGGAGCTGACTGAAGTTAGGTTTGCCCAAAAGACAGTTAAGAATTTGTTGTATTTTTACTTCTCAGAGGTAAATAAAAGATCAGGCATCAGTAAGGTTACCTGTTTTGTGTTTTGATAACCAGGTGAACAGTGAGTCCATCATGAATTCCATGCTGAGTCAAAGTATCTTGATCTTTCAAAATTTTTCCAGCAAATATCAACACAAGCTGATCAATGTGAGACTTGAAACGTTTAGAGATTTCTTCCTTGAACTAAACAAAAAAGTTTAATATTATACATTCATGTAACTGAATACTGAACTATATTTGCTTTAATTATTTAAGAACAAGCTATTTTGCTCATATTTAATGTATTACTCCACTTGCACTGTACATTGTTTTGCACAACTACTTTTGTAAACCTTTTTTTTGTCCACAGGAAGAAGGAAAATGTTTTTTAATATAATCAGAAGTTTCACATCTAGATCACTATTTATATAAGTGCCACTTATATATACACACTGCAAGGTATGTATATAACACACTAGTAAGTATACACTAACATGTATATACGCATATACATTACAAGCCATCCACTGCTGAAAGACTGAGAATAGTGTCACAAGTATAACAAATCTTTCTATAGTTTTACTGGAACTGAACAGCAAAGTATGTGCCTTTTACACGTATTTTCTACTGCCTTCCATGTGTCAAAACCATCATTCCTTTTGGCACCGACAAAAATCACCTCTTGGGTGGCCCTGCTTTCTCATTCAATATATCACACAGCTACATGAAATGCAGTTGACCATACTAAGAAAAAAAAAGTATCCTACAGAATTCATTCCATATAGGAAAATCTTGATTTTTCAATTACTTAATCACATTTTCAATAGGCAGGACTACATAAAGTCAAGTCCTACTGTATTAGGCTTTGAAGATGACCTCTAACTGAAAGGTCGGATGGTACAGGAAAAGGAAAAAGAACATTTAAGAGAGAGTCTGAGAGAAAAGAGGTTAAAAGCCTGTGTTTGGGTAGGAGGCTGCCCTAGGTTAGTTAAAAGTCTACTCAGAGTTACAGTTCTTGGCAAAACAACTTTTAAGTCAGCCTTTATACTGGCAATATTTAGACGTGCAAGTACTCCAGAAGTCATTCAGTCCATTCTTTCTGAAAGTGGGTTACTTACCTGAATTATTCCTGACATGATTATCTAGTCTGTTTCCTGAGGTCCCCAGTGACTTTCTTCCAAGAAACCTATTCCAGTGTTTCACTATCTTATTTCTTCATTGTCCTGCCCACAACGGACAATGCAAACAGACTGTTGTGTTCCTTAGAATACAGGATTGCAGTAAAGCTAATCTTTCCTTAATTAGCCTAATTAAGGAAAGTTTTCTAATCCAGTTATTTCCACCACTCCTTAAATTTTCAAATCCAATTACCTCTTTTATTAAGTGTGGGGCTCAAAACTGGCCAAAATACTCCAAACCAGTTCATACCAATACTTGGAAGAACAACAGGATAAACCCCACGTGCTGCAAGCTATATTCCTATTTAAAAGAAAAAGTGAGAAATCCATGTAGGAAAACAGTCACGTAATAATGCTGACTTACTTAATAGTTATGAACTCTAGATCCTAGTCTGCAGAGCAGCTGTTCTGGCAGTTGCTTCCTGTTCTGCATTCTTCTAGTTAATTATTCTTAAAATGTGTTCCAAAGTAACATAAAACCAGCAGAAATACTCACAATTTGGTACGAAGATAATGAATAAGAATAAAGGACTACTATACTGTCCCAAACCCAAGAGTAATGTCATTTACCCAAACTCATTTATTATCCTATTTTGCACAATATGCTGTGACAGCGAGATCCACAGCTTAATTCTCATCATATTACAGCTGATGCTGTAAACAATATTCATAGAATATCTCAAGTTGGAAGGGACACAACTGCTCACACTCCTTGCAGGATTACCTAAAACTAAAACGTATGACTCAGTATCATCCAGACGCTCCTTGAACTCTGACCAGCTTGGTGCTGTGATCACTTCCTTGGGGAGCCTGCTTCAGTGACCAACCACCCTCTCAGTGAAGACCTTTTCCTAAAGATCAGTCTGAACTTTCCCTGATGCAGCTTCATTCCATTACCTTGTGTACTATTGCTGGTCACCAGAGAGAGGGGATGAGCACCTCCCTCTCCACTGCACCCCTTGAAGTTGTAGGCGGCCATGAGGTCGCCCCTCAGCCTTCTCTTCAAGCTGAATAAGCCAAGGCCTGTCACACATTCCTTGAAGCTGCTAATTACCCATAAGGTCAAACAGCATCTAATGTTAGTATCATATAAGGATTGAAGGCTATACCTTTTCCCTGTTTGCATGTAGTGCTATTCAGATGATCTGCAAAAGTAGCACTACAGTAAGATAGGAATGCAACAGCCATCATGCAACAGTGTAGCAGAACCCCAAAACAACCTCTACGGCAAGGTATGTGCATGATCCAAATGCACAATAGATCTCTTTCCTGCCACAATAATAAAGCTGTCTAGAATACCAAGCCAATTTTGTCCAAGGCGTATTTACATAAAAAGCCTGAGATGCAAACAAAAAAAAAGTCAGGTCTGTCCATCAGCTTCACCTGCATTCAGCACAACCTTCGAACTTCTGAAATGACAAGCAATAAGCAGGACAAAGCCCTCTGACACTTCATTCAAAGACTACCACATAAAGTCTAGGTTACCATGCAACATATTTTGCAAATTAAACTGCTAATGAGTGTCAACAGTCAAAGATACCATCAATAACAGATTAGGTCCACACACATTCTTCTGCTGAGGCAGAGGAAAGAGAATCATCTATACATTTGTAAAACAGAATCCCCCAAACATTTTCAATACATGTAGGTTTGGTTTTTTTTTTATTTAAAACTCAAAAGATAAGCAAGTTATTCTGCAGCATCACCTGACTTCTGCCAATACTGCAAGATGATTAGCCTTAGGCTGGAGTTTGGCACAAGTCACTACTGTTCGCACTGTGAAATAAAGTCTAGGAGAGTGGAAGAAAAGGCTTTTTACCACCCTCTGGGGGCAAATACCTATCTAATATTTTCAGCCTCTCACCGTTAATGGTAAATGCACTGCAAGGTCATTTCCCCATAGTAAAGGGGAAAGTCCAGAAGCTTCTTTAAATTCAGACCGTGAAAGGACAAAAGAAATGGCTAGTGACTGCATTCTTACTCCCACAGACCTTTTCTATGTAGGGTTTATAGGACTCCCCACCACTTTCATTGATGTGAAAAAAATTGGGCAATAAGATGCTACAGCACTATGCTAACAAAACACAGCATTAACAGTGAAGACAACTGTCATTTTTCCTTAAACAGAACTGTAAACATCAATCTAGTGTGTGTTCTATTTGAGGAGGTACATAATCAGCAGCAAAGCAAAAACACAAATGAGATTCTCATAGGAATTAATACATACTTGTAAGAAAAGTAACTTTGGTATTGTTTAAATCTTCAGTTTGAACAGCCAAACTAAATAACATTATCAGTAAATTACAGTTAAAATATTTTGTCACCTGGGAAAACCAAACAGAAGGAGTTCAAAGTGTCACTGGCTAGAAATGATAAGCATCTCTGTCCAATTCTCTAACTGCACTGGCTCTTCCTTTTTAACATCATGTAACCCTCCAAGAAATGGTTTGAACTGACTTGCTTTATTGTTCTAAAGAGCAAGTCTTACTTCATTGTAATACTAGGCACCGTGATATTACAAAGATGTTCAGTTATAGCCAAGCATAGAAAAGGACTTGAAGTTGTAAAAATAATGTTTCACCATATCTAATGCCTAACATTCACAGAAATTAGTTCGTTGTACTCCTCTAGTAGCTGAAAGAAAAATAATGTAAAATTATGGTAATTTTAAAGATTTTTTAGACAAATCAGTGGAGAGAAACACAATGGGAATTGAAACAAGACTGACAGCTAGACAGAGGACTTGTTTCCCTATGGAGAAAAGGAGAAAGCAGTCTCACTGGAGTGAATTAATTCAAGGTCACAGCCTCCTCAAAGCATGGTAACTTGTAGATTCTTTTGGCATGAATTAGAGAAAATCTAAAGCTAGTCTTGTTGAAGCCCCTTGCCCACATTACCATTTCACCTCCAGTTAAAATGTTTCTACCAAGCTTTTTAAAGGACAGAAGAAATGTAATTTTTCACACTGGAACATGCACAGGTTTGTTAGCAGCACACCAGCCCTTCTTGTTTACATGCCAAACATCCTCACCTTCATACAACTTTAAAAAATTCAGCCCAATACTCTGCTAGCAAAACTTTTCTTTTTTTGCTCCATGTTAACACAAGAAAGGGTCTACAAAGCAAGTCAAGACTTCTATTATACCTGTTTATCTTTATTGTCTCTGAAGGTTTTAGTAAGGTATGCACGGACAGTACAGCGTTGATGCCCAGTGGTGAACAAATGGATACTTGTGCCTGAGCTAGTTAAAGCAGCCATTCTGTCACTTAACAAAGCAAATGTCTGAATACACATTAAGTAGAACAGCTAAGACACTGTTCTGCCCTGCCACTCTGCACTGCAGATCCATACTTTAAACATAAACCAATTGACATCTGACAAGTTAGCCTAGGAAGGGCCTGGTAAAATTATTCCAGGCAAAGCAAAAATCTTAACATGCAAAATGTCTTTTGACATGTTTACCACCATATTATGATTCAAAAGCTTTTGCTGACTCATTCTATGATCAAAAACTGCAACTGTAATAACACTACTATCCCTTCACTTGACAGAGAGTTGTGAAAAAGTAATAAAAAGAGAAAAACAAATTAAATATATTCCCAAATCTTCTCAACCTTGGCTTAGTAAGACATTTAGAAATTATAGTAACAGTCTGAAAGAAGCCTCAGGGAATCAGCATCCAATTCCCACTGAAAAGTAACAGAAAACAGCCCCTGAAAACTGCAACTGCTTTGAAAATACTAACCTACAATTTTATCTACATAACAATAAAAAAAAACCAAAGCTGCTGACTCTCCCCATTCCACAGAGTCAGAGATGACATGGAAGCAAAGGTTCCATGTCATCTACGCCCAAAGAGGGCTGAACTGCAGTTTATGTTCCCAGCAATCACTCAAACAGTTCTATTACAAAGAAAGGTTTTCAAATCACATTACCTTGTTCACCACTGCTGTTTCAACTGCCTTTCCTATTAACACATATAAAGTGTATTAGCTGGATTCTAGTCTTACACCCACACCCAGCAG